ATGTGTTGTGAATTGGCGCTATAGAAATAAACTGAATTGAATTGAATTAATTTCTAATGCAGTAGTTTTTCTTGTGGTTGCATAGGAAGGCTTATTTTTATCAGAGGAGTGTAGTAACAAACTACAAATACTTCACTACTTAAGTAGAAAATTTGGTTATCTATACTTCACTGGAGTAATTATTTTTAGACACCTTTTTACTTCTACCTGTTACAGTGTTTTAGATATTATCTCTACTTTCTCCTCCTTACATTTTAAAACTAGACTCGTTATTTTTATTGGATTTGAGCTCGTTTTTCTTAGGGCCTGTTGGTATCCAAAAAATAAAATACAATAAAACATCAAAATACAATGTCTTTGTGGCTGGACTCAGTGCTGCCCCAACTTGTTTTTCAACACTTAAGTTGATCCTCTAACTTCTACAAAAGAGTTTTCAAACAGTAGGGTTTATACTTCTACTTGAGTGATAAACATTGATTATGTTGACACCTCTGATTTTTACATAATTTAATTAAGTGCCCAGAGGTAGGATATATTGCAGATGTGCAAAATGAGTAAACCTAAGTCATTTCACCAGAGGACGTGTGAAAGGAAAGTGGATAACTAAGATGGAGTTTGGAAAAAGGGCAAAAACACTGAATGCTAAGAGGGATAAGAAACGAGCAGCGATGGAAATATAATATGAAAGTTTGTGTTTCCTGAAGCAAAAGCTAAAAGCTGCTGAAGAATCTCAGTAAAAGGTATAGAGGACAATATTTTATTTCCGGTGGATCATCTAAATAAGTGGTCCTCCTAATTGTCAATCATCCTGGTGATATGTTCACGTAAGGCCGTCCTATTTGCTCGTCCAGTTAGCTATCTTTTTCCGTGCATGCACACTTTCAGGCGTGTATTTGTGGTGAGCTACGGTTTCAGACAGTCGTTGAAGCTCACCTTTCTCACTGCGGTTCTTTGAAAATGGCCAAAAGTTGTTACAAAAAAAAAAAAAAGAGTCTCCAAAGTGTATGAGAAGAAAAGAAAGGCCTCAGAAGAGGCAGATATATCCCAGAATGCTTTGCACGGAGAGCTCTCTCTATATAGTGATAGTGATTGAGGGATTTAAGGGTTAGAGCGGATGTTCGGACACAGTAGGCTTATATGAGTTATGAGAACAGCAACTTTTAAACAGAGCGTGCACGAGGAGAAATGGGCTTGTGGACGCATTTAATAGTCGTTCCCCCTTTGGAGCAGGTACAGGGTTGTGCATGTGCATTTTTTTTTTTTAAGTGGAGAGAGTAATTGAAAAAAATTAGCGAAAATCCTCCACAATAGCTTTGATGGATGTCTGAGTAAAATCTGCCAGCAGGAGGCGAGAGCGTACAATAACTTTCATGTTTACTGATCGCCCGATGCTAAAACACAGGACCAAGTAAACACTACTGGAACCATGTCTGTTGTATATGGCTTTATTTTACCATAAACACATGGGTTTTGGTGTTTTTTAATTGCATAGTATTTCATCTAGATCTATCAGTGTTGTTTTCTGATAAGAATAGTTTAGCAGCCGTTCCCTGGTTGGATGAAAAAACAAAGGGCTGTTGAACCAGGAGGGTTTCAGATCAGCAGAAAAGTTATTTTTAGTTCAAATTAAACACCTTCCAAAAAATATTTTTATTTTAGTAAGATGATAGGATCACATAGAGCAATGCAGTGAGAGGATAAATTAACGGTTAATCATTATTGGATAAAACTTTTGGGCTTTAGTTTATATGAAAAACAGTGAAAAATGCCCAACCCTGTTATTCCCACACTCCCTCTCATTCATCCTCTCCTCACTATGATTTACACAAACATCGCTTGCTCTCCCGTCCTGTTGATGCTGCCTTGTGAATCAGCAGATGACCTCAGCAACAGATCCACTGTCTGCCCGTCAGTTAGCCGACGCTAAAAATGGAGCCGAGAGGGGAAGCAGAAGAAGGTGGGAGGCTGATGTGAGTGGGAGAGGAGTAGAAGAGAGCATGAAGGAAAAACGGACAGCTCATTAAAACAAAGCCCCCCCCCCCCCACCAATAAAATTAGAAATACCTCTGACTCAAAGCTAAAAAATGCCTCTGTGTGTGAGGCACTCAAACACAGGCAGCATTTCAGAGGAACGACGTCAACAAGTTCAGGATTTCAGAATGATCTCACATGAGCAACGGTGCAGGAGGGAGAAACCAACAACATCTCAGCATCTACTGGCCTCCCATTATGCGTACACAGCTTAGCTAAACACAGTAAACCTTTAAATGACAGAGTGATGGAGATTCATACCTTCTCTGCAGGTCCATCTCTTCCTGTGAGGGGCCATTCTGAACCGGGGGACCCTGTCTGGGCAGCGTGGGGCCTGCGACACACAGAGCATAAAGTTCTTAGTTTCTGTTTGACGATTATAAATAGACACGCTATCAATATGTCATTTTGTTTAAACTTTATTTTGAAAGGAGACACCTTCTGTAGCGTTAGCTAAAGCGGGGGAAAAAACAAAAACAAAAAACCTCCTGGAACAATTTAATGTCCTGTGTTCTGAATGTCAGCGGTTACAGGCAGGGAAGGAACTCATTCATGGTTTAAACATCGACTGTGTGACTGTGGGCCTATAATCTGATTCCTTCTGCTCCACATACATGTCAGCCTGCCATGCTGCAGCCTTTACCTCCTCCGTAATAACATTTATAGAGATGAAAGCATCCTTCTCTTTTCTGTAAAGGTCCATTTACATGTTCACCATTCCTTTTTGCTTCCTTAACACTTTTCCCCCAGTGGGGCATGGGCAGATAAAAAAGAAGCATGATCCATACACTATAAACTTCTTTCCATTTTATCTGGTTTTCTATAATGAAATAATGACTTTTGTTGAGACATTCTGCCCAGGATGCACATATAGAGAAAACAGAAGACACTATTAATGATGCGAGCATCGCCGCGGCTTCAGCGTACTGCTGTGGACTTATTGTTTTAGTCTTCATAGTTGAGTATAATCATTCCTCCTTAGTTCTCCATGGTCCACGGTGTCATCTGACAGGTTGGCCTTCCATTTTCACAAAAAAACTAAAGAAACAAAGATGGTAAACACGGCTATTAACTAGACTAGAGATAAAGAAGAGGAATACAGCGTGCAGAAGAAGCTAAAAAAATTGTTTAGTTATTATTTAATGCAGGGGTAACCAATTAACAATCAGCGGGGTCCGAATAAAGAAAATCATCAACCAGTAAAGGTCTGGAGACGTTTTTAATTATAATCTGTTACTTTAAACAGACTTTAACACTGAAATAAAATGACGTTTTTATGCATCCATGTTATAAATTGAAATATTAAATAAAAAGAAAAAATCTATTTTAAAATCTATAGTGTGTTTTGAAGCAGAGAACAACAATCGTTCAGTTTGGTAAATAGACCATTTCCCGATTCACATATTTTATAAAACACCTGAACTGACCGTCTCCCGTCTTAATGTTGGCAGTGGGCTTTATGCTGCCCTGCAAGGCTTTAAACCTGGGTCTGAATGGAGACTAAGTCATTCTAAAGCTCATATCAAGGAGCTCATTCTGAGCCTGGATCCAGATTTATTGTTGATTCTGTTCATGGTGGAGAATCCTGCTTCACAGCAGCAGGTTGAGCCAAACATCCTCTAAATGTTCAGGGTCATCTTTGAGCACCATTTCACTTTTCTTTCACCAGTTCACCACAGTTCTTCCAGCAGTCCACACTTTCTCTGCTCTCTTTTTCTCATCATCTTCTCCTTCTTTCCCATCGCCCGGCTCGCCACAGGTTTGCCTGCTGTGTCTAAAAGTAGCAGCAGCAGCAACCCAGACTGACAGCAGCTCATTGGATAATTTTTGTCATGTGCAGCCTGGTGCCGGATGCTACGGAGGGCTTTACCGTATTGATAGGAGAAGTGGCACAAGTGAAATTAGACACTGTTGTCGGACAACATGCGGTAATTAATAAATGTTTTAAATCATGTTGGGTCCAGATTAGCCAACAAGTGCGTCTGGATCCGGATCATGGCCCGTTAATCTGTGACCTCTGACCTAATGGATAACAGCGAGCTGGTTGGTTGCTTAGCGCCGTAGCACCAGAGAAGCCGCTGCTCACCTGTCAGAGACGTAGAGGAAGGCCTGGGGCTCCTTGCTAGCTCAGTGGCACATTTATAACTGTTTGAAACCAACATTATCAAAAAAAAATGTGTGTGCAAAAATAATAACAATCATAAGATTCTATTCGTTCTTCGCCATCAGCTAATAGGCATGAAAGACCGGATATTCGACATATTGACCTTTCGGTTTCTTGTATTGCTTTTTAAAAACAGAACATTTTTCCCTAAAACAATGAGGGAAATGGGCAACCCTTGTTGATGTGCAGTGCAGGGCCATACCTGTAGTTGAGGCAGTGACAGTGGGAGACGTAGACCGACTCAAACCCCAAACAACATGGATACCAAAAAAAGCTAAATTACAGTTACCTCCTGATGAACATATAAAGAACTTGCTTTTTATCTATATATTTCATTTTGATAGCTGGGAAAAATATCACAGCATATTGTGATATTGTGATATCATGATAATATTGTATAGTCACCCAAGTATCTATACACGTATCGTATCGTGACACCCATGCCAATACTCACCCCTATGAAAGACACCAGATCAACTGTCAGAATGCAAGTTTAGAAGTTATGTAGACAAGTTAAAGAGTTAAAACAACAAAACCACAAGGAAATTCATGAGTCTTTAAAGCCTGATGTTACACTCCTCACCAGTTGGTGGCAGTGTTTAACCTAAAGGTTGTACACAAACTGCCTTCAAACAGAACTATGGGGATGATTTTAATGAAGGAGTAGCATTAGGTCAAATAAAACAGATTTTTCATTTAAATTCTGATCTGTCCCCTAATTAGGGCTGCTTAGTGGTCCGGTGGGTAGCACTACAAAAAGGTTCTGGGTTTGATTCCCGGGATCTTTCTGTATGGAGTTTGTATGTTCTCCCTGAGCATGTGTGGGTTCTCTCCGGGTACTCCAGCTTCCTCCCACAGTCCAAAAACATGACTGTAAAGTTAATTGGCTTCTCTAAATTCTCCTTAGGTGTGTGCATGAATGGTTGTTTGTCCTATGTGTTTCCGTGCTGCCCTGCGATGGACTGGCGACCTGTCCAGGGTGGACCCCGCGTTTTGCCCGTAGAAAGCTTGAGATAGACACCAGCATGCCTTGCGACCCCACTTGGGATAAGCGTGACGGAAAATGGATGGATTCTGATCTGGTTATGGTGTCTAACAGTTCATGCTTCTCACAGGGTGATTAAAAAGTAAAGGGAAACATGTCCGATACCCTGGACAGAAATGACCCGTCAGCAACATGTTGGATCAAAAATCAACACTTCATTTGGGGCATGTATTTTATGTATTTAGAAAACCTTCCAACAAAAACACCAATTATATTTTGTTGAGTTAGTTAATGTTTCATAAGATGATAACCAGGAAGTTTAAAGTAAAAGACGCCATCTTTAATCTCAGAGGGAAACACAAATGCCTCGTAGCAGATGAATATATATTTGATGAAGCCTGTTGTGAATATAGTTTGCAAGCAGATCAAACAGCCCAGACTGGAGTTGATATTGATCTAAAGCAGAATCAGTTTTTGCACAAACAGAATGAAGATCCAAACTTAAAGCATCTAGACGTAATAGAATATTCCATTTTAAATAAATAAATACAAAGCAAAGCATCACATCACTATCACTCTTTGGGACATTCTGGAGGAAAGCAACAGAGCTCCCAGTATCACAGTCTAATTAACACCTTCTCACGCTCTGACCTTTCAGCCTGACCTGAGCAGAGGCAGAGAGACCAACACTGAGTCAGCATGAAGGCTGCTTAATCACAGAAGAGGCTGTTTGGGTGTTAGACGTTTTACCCAGAACCCATCTCTACCTGTGGAACGTCACATTTTCTGTTCACACAGATTCAGGCCCAATGAGGGGATAACAGCAGGTTCCCAGCAGCGCCTGGACGGAGTAGAGCAGGAAGCAGACTGGACTGAACCTGCCGTCGGTTGTGTGTAGTAACTGGATCTGGGCCGCAGCCAGAACAGACAACTGCTTCTGCATATCAACACTGTGGCCCCGCTTAACACGGCGGCGGCTGCTGGCACCCACTGCTAGACACCGGATCAGGCAACTAATTATTCCTCTGTGTTGTTTCAACATTTATGGTGCGAGACTCCGCAGCCTGTTAAAGGTTAAAAAACAATACCGCCTTAAAGCTGAAGTTAGAGATCATTGCAACAAGCATCGTTTTTAAATCCTTATAAGCTGAGAAAGCATGATCTCTATGCCACCATTATGGATCAAATACTGGTCTAAAGTCGTTAAACAAAGGATCACATTTCAACAAAATATCCTCTTAACTTCACGACACCTTTGGTAGGATATTTGCTTCATCAGACCATTGTGCTAAAGATAAGTCTATCAGACTTATAGAGAAACGGCTTTCAGGACCGATCAGCAGAGTTTTCTAGTTTTTTTCTGTCAAGACCCTTTCATTTCAGACCTGCTCAATGCGGCCTCCATCACCGTCATGACTGGAAGTTTATTCTCGACGTTTTACTTGAAGCTGTCAGGATTAGCGCATAGCACGTTTGTGCTGTCGCATTAGAAGAAGAACACTTTTTTTCTGCGAGGTGAGTGCACACTTAAATCTGCCTTTTCCCTACTTTCCCCCAGTTAAAGACCAAGAAAATAATTCATATCATTATTTTTGTGTGATTTTCTTTGACTTATTACAACATTATCTGTCTTTTACAGACGTATGTTTCAATGTGACTCAATGTGGAACTTCGCCCAAAGATGGACGCCGTGTCATGCTTTGAAATCTACTGGTTCGACAATAAAAACACTTCCAAGAAAATAAAATACATTTGAACGTTTTTTTGTTTCTATTGTTTTATCCAGTGTTGTGGGGGAAAAAAAACTGAGGTGGGTTTTTATGGTGATCTATCCAGGTATTCAGTAATTCACTATGAGAACACTAAGCTGAGTTGATCTTAAATCACACGTCCTCCATTGGTAAATCTATGTGGTCCAACAGCAAGAACAGCACAAACAATACTAAAAGACTGTTAGAATATATAATATAGAACTTGTAAACACACATAAGAGATTACTTTATAAAAGAACTGAGTTAATTTTTTTTATTTTGACATTTTCTTGCATTTTTTAACGTTACTGATTTGAACTGGACATAGATAAATAAATAAATCCTGAAACACATTGATAGACTAAAATATTTATATTGTGAAGACCCAGGAAATAGACACAGGAATGTAAAATATTTCCAGTATACTATCTTTT